TCTTTCTCTGATCTTGTATGTCTAAGGAAATGGACGGTTTACCAATTCAAAGAGTCTGATAACAAAATTGAAAACACAGAACTACCCATAAGTAACATGAAAACAAATGATGAAGAAAAACAAACTCCTTCCTCATTAGTAAAAGCCATGTGAGGATAAAAAAAGGTTATGTGAACTGCTTCAGGTAAGTATAGAGTACAATGGAAAAATAACTGATAAAGGAATAGTTTTCAGGGAAATCACAACCACCCACTGTGGTATACTATGGATCTAACAGATTTATGTTTAAAAAGTACTTTTATCTTCAGTGGTGAACAGTGAGGGTGTTTACTAAATAACTTTGTCAATAAGAGGCAATACAATTTTACATTTGATAAATGGTACAGAGCTTCTGTATGTAGTTACAACAAATTAATGCTAGCAAAGAAAAAAATAACTAAATTCAAGTTTGAAAATAAATTGGAGTTTTAACTCTACATATTCTGTGTCCATAACGTAGTGGGCTTTGGGTTTTTTTAAAACTCAAGTGTTCTTCAATTAGATAAATAAAATTTATATCAGAATACAATGAGGATAGATGGAATAAGCAAAGAAAAACAAAAGAAAATTAAAAAACCCCAACAACTTAAAACCCCCCGAACTATCTGCTACCTTGAAGTGCTTCTTCATAAAAAAGAGCAAATAGAAAACATGACCGTAGAGTCACAAAGAAATAATCAACAATACCATAATGAATTATAAACTTAATATTCTATATATAAATACCAAGGATTAACTATTGGCAACTGTATTGTAATCCGAAGAACCAGTTCACTTCTCCTGCCTTTCCATGCATTCAAAAAGATTCCAAAAGGTATCAGTGACCAAAAAGCAGCAGATGCCCTTAACACTGCTAGTACACAGCCTCTTCTGCATTAGGACAATGCCCAGTTTATTTCCTTATGTCTGTTAAAGCGTATCTCTAATCTCACCAAGCACTGTGAAATTTCTGCATATGTAATATTCCTTATGAGTACCTCATTACAGAGTTCAAACTTCAGAATCAATCTGATGCTCATAACTGTAAACATAAACATAAACAAAACATTTACAAAATGAAGGCCATTATTAAGGCATACTTACATGCAAGCTTTTCCCATAGTATGGGAAGTACATCAAGTCAATCAAGCCTTCAGGAGGAAAATAACTTATCTCAACCATGCCTTCTTCCTGTGATTGGACATAGCAACAAAACTTAAAGTTAACATCTGCTTCCACAAAAATTAATGAAAAATTAGAATTATAACCCAACGATAGAGTGCAAGATCCTTAAGAAAAGGCAGCTGAGCTACAAACTCTCAGAGCAACTTCCAAAATAGATTTATTTTTGGCAAACAGTTACATGCTGCACACATCTGCTACAGTAAGGATTATTAACAGTAGTATTTAAATTAGTAATTAAGTCAAGACAGCTTGCCTTCATGTTTTGCTCACGAGTCAAAGGGGAGGGTGGAAGAGGATATTCATTGCAATGAATAACTTAACAACAACCACAAAAAAACCCCATATATAAGCTGAAATCCCAAGTATCCACAAGTAAGCCCGTATATTTTGATGAAGCAACAGTATATCTGTATTTAAGTCATAGATAAATTTCTGTTTAAATCCAGGTTTTTAAGCCTCTCAAATTTGGAACAATACAACCCTCTACAGCCTCCTCCCTGCAATGGTGTACTATTCCTAACGTGTTCAGCTAGCCTTGGAACAGAGGCTACCCTAAAAGGAAACCCAAGTTTAAAATAGTGATGTTACTAGAGTTTCTGTGCGTCATCAGCACCTCAGAGGAACAATATACATACGCATGCCTTATCACTAGACTTTCCCCTATAATCCCAAATCTTGTAGCAAAAAGCAGCTACCTACAAAGTTGCTGCTTAATTTCTAAGGAGTCACCCAATCTGCAAGATATACAAAATATGTATATATGATTGAGCTGTCCCAGACACAGGCTATCAGTGTAACAATACACAGACACATCTCCCTATATACAATACTCCTCAGGGATTGTGTCTCCCGGCAGGATGTCAAACCACTGCATGTTCAAACCTCTAGGAAATGCCCACATCTAATCTGACTTCCTATCATAAGGTAAACATATTACCATGGTAAAGGTAAATGCCACTAAAACAACCCCCCAAAAAATGCTAAATGTATATTCAGAACATCACTGGTTGTTCAGTGCAATTCACAAGTTCAAAGTGCATTGGTAATTTTCATTGTTTTTTCTATACTACTATATACAACAGCTGCAATTTTAAAAAGATATACTACAAAGTTTAGAAGACAACTGCAGTAATAGAACTAAGCAAAACAGGAACACAAAGATTAAAAAATAGTAAAGAATAAACCACAGCTCAAGAACACCTTCTCCTTGCCTCCTCAAAACAACATACAATATGTTGTTTAGGATATAGCCACATTCTTGTTCCTCTGAAGTCTAAATTACTGCAATTCTTCAATATATATTTATTAAGTATTTTAGACCTTGAGCTAACAAATATAGTTACTAAGTAGAAATGTGTTGCTTTTCACCTTTATTCTTTATTTTATTTAAAGCTCATGCAGCTGAAGATACTCATTTTTCGAATACATTTCTGAAATAACAGTTAAAAGCACGAGAACACAGAATAACGTAAGAAATATAAATAAGAGTAGAGCTTTCTAGACCAGCTAAACACAAGGCATGCATGCAGTCATATATATATACACGCATTAGTATACGCATTAGGCTATCAATGCAATAGCAGAGTGGTTCTGGGACATGCAACTGCCTGTCTCATGCAACTGCTGGGGGGTTTGGGGGTTTCTTTAATAATTAATTAATCCTAATATCCCTACCCAATTAAAAAAAAACCAAACAACACAACAAAAACAACACCTAAGCAAAGCTGCATTTGCTGAACAGCTTCAAGAATCAGTCCATTAGTGAGTGTCGCTTTTTCTGCTTACTGTTTACAATTTCCACAAAGAGTTGCAGGCAGTCAGCAAGTGTAAAACTCAGACCACTTAGCTGAACAGACAGTCTTCCACCTCACTTACTGGGTCTTTATTAAGACTGTGTCTTAGAAAGAATAATTTTGCAGATGTTAAAATAATGTACAAAGACCCAAGGAAAGAACTTGGGCAAAACTGGTTCGTAATCATTTGAGAAGAAGAAATGGTATCATTGCACAAAAAGAGCAGTATCCATTAACAGAAACTGTAAAACATCTAAGATTTTTGTCACAAAAAGCAAGGTCACTCAGATGCTGAGTATGTTGACAATAGCAAGGCACAGTGTCATTCATACAGTCATTCTTCATTGTTGTAAACTAGAAAGTGATACCTAATAGAAAGTCAAGACAGTCACTGAACAGCGGAAATACGTGTATTTTGGAATTAAGGCCATTTTTGTTTTCCGTAGTTAAAAAAAAAATCATGCATCAAATCTACCAGTTCTCAGTAGAGATATTTTTCACTTAAAAGAATACTGCTGCAAGATGTTCCAGTGCACAGGAAATTGCGCACCTTCAGCCCAAAACTAAAGACCTAAAATGCTGATCTTCAAACTTCTTGGAAGCACCATCCTTTTTTGGCTTCTTTCTCTTTGCAGAGATCCTCAAGACTACAACAGGTCAGTTCCTCCAGGGTGCAGGAGGAAGAACCAGCTGCAATTAGTGTCTGACACTGCAAACACTCACTTCCCTGATCTACAGAAATTATGGCGATGACAGCTACCACTATGTGGGGGCAGAGGGGGGAGCATCCCCAACTATCAAGTGTGCTGACGTTGAAATCACAGATCTATTTAAAATGTTTATACTTTCAAAAAATCTCATGGGAAAAGTGAAGGGAGAAGACGAATTGCCTCACCGGAGAATGCCTGAAGAACATAAATTTCAAAGTGAAAAACTTAAATGACGTTTCAGGTGGCAAAGACTGGCAGGATGCAGAGACAGAAACAATTACCTTATTTTGTATTTGAGAGACTTGTCCTCTTAATTAATTTTTTTTTTTTTCATTTAGAAGTCAGATTGTGTGAATTCCAGGCAGACACTTTTCCAAATTGCTCTCAGTATATGTAAAACTAACTATAAAGGACAAGAAATATTTAAAAACATAGATGAAGGGGAAAGAAAAAAAAAACAAAACTATGATAGTAGGTTTTCTGCTCTGCTCAATTAAATCACCCTTTAAGCAAAATCCATCTTTGTCACTCAGATGTTAAAGATTTCTGACGTAAAATTTAAGATTACTAGTGGCTTGCATCTGTGCTACAATTGCACAAATATGCTCATATATTCTGAGGCTAATACTAGTGCAGAGTTTATGTTCAGAAATGTGTGTCACCTGGATTAACTTTGCAGTACACCCTGAATTCTTTTAATCCACATTTACTGACAGCAACATAGAAAGAAAAAAACCCCATCCTAAAATACCGCAACAGAACACATCAGTTACTTTAAGACTAGGCAAACACCCTGAATAAGAGAAGCACAAATGACCACTACACTTCAACTTCTGTTATGAGCCAGTGTTTAGGGAACATTCAAATAAGGTGGCAGATGCAATGCCATTATAAATTCATCTGCAAAATGCACAAAAGCCCATCGGCTATCCTGCTCCACCTTTCCAGTGTGCACACAAGAGAGTCACAAGTCACATCCTTGCATCAATAAGATCAGAAGAGCCACAACATATTATTTCCAGGCAAACATTCACCATATCCACTGCAGAAGAGGCAGATACCATTACACAGAAGTCCTATCCTTAAGAGTTAAAGAAAGAAAAATAGAATTTTCCAGGCCTCATAAACTGATGTGAAGAACAGCATAATCCTTTAGAGTTTCAATAAGCAAGATGCAGAACAGAAATAAGGAGAAGTTCTGTAAAAATGTTGCTGCTGCTGCTTTGCTGTCTGCAGAGAAGGATGAATTGTAACCAATATTAAAGCTTTCTTAAGCAGGTAAATCATAATGAGCTAGGGCAAGAATGGACTAATTTAAGATAAAATAGATGCATTCAAAGTGGCAAAGCCTGACAAATATTTTCCCTGGAAGTCACTAAAGAACCAGTAAGATTAACAAACTTAAAATTTAAAGACACCACACTTGTGTATATCAGAGAAATTCTAACTGGTAAGAAGAATTCTATCTGGTAAAAAGCAATACTTCATACTTAGAGGATGCAAGAAAGAGGATGCATACTGTAACACACGGTACAATTTCCTTGTAACTATTTCAAAGGGTAAAAAAAAGGCAAAAAACCCCATCATGATCAACCAGATTTTTCTCAGACTTATTCTTTTGCTAGTGAAATCAGCTAAGAGGATGAGAAAAAGATTGTCTGTGATTTGCTTAGTATAGCTTTTACCACTGCTTCATAGGGCCTCCATGTAAGAAAGCTGAGGGAGTATGATCATCATAAAATAGGATTACCATCAGTATTTCGTACGTCACTTAAACATTAGTTCTCAACACCTCACAAGGTATTTCAGGTAATGAAGATGATTGTCCTGGACTCTGTTCAGTGTTTTCAATAAGGACTTGCAAGATGCAAAACAAAGTTCATGCACTGATGGCACCAAGCTGTAAGCAGTTCAAAACACTTCAGAGAACTCGATCCCATTAAAATGACCTTGAAAAATGTGGGGAGGGGGGGGGGAAGGCATGAAAAATAGCAACATGAAGCTCAAAGCTCTGAACTTCAAGAAATCACAAACACAAACTGTGAAATAACCAAAAGAAAGATCTAAGTAGTAAAGCAATTAAAAAAAGACTCAATGTACTACAAACAGCAAATTCACCTAAAGTCATATTACTTCCAATGTGATGACAGAGGGAAAAATTCTGTCATTAAGAATACCTCAGCTAGAGGCAAACTTCTGTCCAATTTGGGATACCACATTACAAAAAATTATAAACTAGTGAAGTCAAAGAAGGAAGAGTACTAGTAAAAGTAGAAGGAACTAAAACATTTTATCATAAAGAAACAAATACTTCCTCCAACAGAATGACATTTTTTAAGAATGGACACAAAGAAATCAGTCTCAAAAAGAAAAGTAATCACCTTTACTTGCACCACACTGCCATGGGGAGATCAAAATTTTTGTGGAGATTTTGAAAGTTAAGTATTAAAATTTATGCCTACCACAGGTACCTAGGATGAAGGCAGGGCCACTTGCTGTATTTGTCTCATTAACTGCTGAAATGTCCCAGTCTACACTTTTATCAGTCACCTCAAGCTAAAAGCCAGGACTCTGTCCCTTGATTAAGCTACTCACTTACATAGCTTTCACTGCTCCCCAAGCAGACTAAGAAAAACATGCAGAAGTCACAGTAATTATTATAATTGCCATAAAACATTCTGTGTACACAACAAATATGCATAGATCAGCCGTTACTCCAACTAGTTTACACTTGATTTGAAGGCAGCTTTTACTTTAAACAGTATCATTAGTTTCCACACTGTGTCTTACCCATCACTTATAAAATTGTCTAAGGTGCACTTGCAGCATGAAGAAAAAATAAAAATATAGGTTATGAAATGAGAAAACAAAACACAACTCACAATAAATAAATAAATATGACCACAAATTACATGTATGTATTTTCCTCTGCTCTAAAGCAAGTCAGGTAGCTCAAATACATCTAAAGATGAAAGAAAAACAACCAAAAAAAGTATTTTAATAAGTACACTGAAGAAATTAAACGCACTCAAACTAAACTAGACATACAGTAAGTTGAAAACAAGAAAAAAGAAGTACAAAGTAAAAAAGGAACAGAAGAGAGTGAAATAAATGTTCTGACACAGTCTATTATTTCACTTTTCACCCTACTCACAAGGCATATTAACTACACACATTTCTTACATTCAGAACTGACCTTAGATGCACAGTGTATATGGGGTTCTCCTTCAGGCTTTAATCCAATTATCTAAAGGAGAGAAAGTTAAAATATTTATAGGCTTTCTTCTCCTTTCCAGTTTTACAGACTGAACTTGAACCTTTCCCCCACTTAACGTGACAAAGTTCACACAGGCAGAAAAATCTATCTAGCGTCATTTTTATTAGAAGAATAATTTTAGACTAGGACTAAGATTGAAAGCATTGTTGAGTTGAAGCTCAAATAGTTATAGTGGCCACAAAAAGGACTATTTTCTTATTTTACGTTCAGCATGTAACATTAACGGCTCCAACCAGTTAGCAGTTCAGGTAATATGTAACATCACTGAAAAGTCAAATACTTCTTCATTCAGTAAGGTGATGAAAACTTTACATTGTTTCGGAGTTACAGAACGCATGACATTCTAATCACATTTCTAGAATGCAGACATGAAGTAAAACACACTTCACCTGCACAGTGTTTTAGAATCTGTTACACAGAACAGTAAGCAAAACCAAAGACCACTGTACTCCTTAAGACACGGTTTTCACATATTTTGATGCAAGTAATCAAAGCAAATATTTGTAAGTATTAGAATGCTCAAAAAGCTCATTCATTTTACTCTCTGAAACAAATGAATTGCTAGACATTTCAGCAAATCACACTATTCCAGAAACGCAGGTATCTTGGGAAGCAAACTGAACACATATTATTGTCCTTTTCTACATTCATTTTTCATACAGCTGTAGTTGGGAACACTTATACTAAGAATTAAAAAAATAAGTACGCACTTACTCTGTTCATTTTCACAAGCACGCAGGGAGTTCCTTTAGAATAGCCAAAAGTCTTATCTTCCTTCCCAGAGCATTGTCCAAGCTCAGAGAGGTTAAATCGACAAGCCTTTTTGACAGCAACATCATTTTGATCAAAAATCCTTCCTGGTGTACAGTTTATGTTCTGGGATTGCTTTGAATCATCATATGCTAGGTAACAGAAACAGCTTGTAAATCGATGGTATCAAGCATACAAGTAGCCAAAAACAGCAGAAGCTAATTTATAGTTCTTACTTGTCCAGGAGTTTTCTCAAAGGACTATTTTCAGAGCACTATGTCTTGCCTCCATCTTAACAAATTCTTACTTTTTCCAAGCCTATCAAGAAGTGGCACTGTGCTTGAATGAAAGAGTATTACCAAAGAAATAATGCTGCCCTGCTTTTTGAACAGCACCAATAATCACACCTTCAGTAATTTCTGTACGTAAGCTAATTCTAAACTAATTATGTATTCTAAACTAATAATGTATCAAAATATAAATAATCAAGTTTTTACCTGGAAACTAAACCAGTTTTCCTTTTGCACATGTTTCTTTTATGAACACACAGGAACACTTCAAGTATTTCAATGACTAATATTAAATTGCCTGTACATTTACATCAGGTGGTATAACTGATGTTGTACTAACATCCCAAATTATTTCTCACTTTCTTATGTTTCACAAGCACACAGATCACATTGTCACAAATGCTCATGTATTCACATTTTACATGTTTTGAGGTTTTGTCCCCATCCCTTACACTCCACCCCCAACTAAGCTAAACAAAGTAAAATGGAAAAAGGGTAATGAAAGTTCGTCCTCAACACAAGAGTCCAAAACCCACTGAACTGCAGGAGAGGCAGGTAATCATGAAATGCAGCCTTCCTCCCTGGAACCCTTGGCAGAGCTCTGAAGGAAAAGCCTACTCATAGACGCTTTTAGGAGGCACCAAAACTACAAATCCAGATCAGATAGATTCAAGTATAGCTTGTGTATATTAGATAGATTCAGGTATAGCTCGTGTAGCTAACAAAGCAACTCACACATAGAGGTGAGATTTTACACCACCTCCTCAATTCTGACTTGCAATTTTTGAGGGGTTAAACTTATCAATATTTTAAATTTATTTCTGGATTTCTAGATTAAATGTACATACAGGCACACATATAAAATAATGTATGACAAATTAGTGATTTTGCCATCCTTCAGTCTTGTCCTGTGTTACTTTTTCTCCATGTTCTAAATTCAATGTTTTATTATTTCTGCCCGTAAATACTGTGTATCAGGGTGGAAATGAATAAATTGCAACTAATTTAATCTTTGTGTTCCTCATTTTTTAAACAGGCAAACACTGAAGTTCTTAAGACTAAAGGATTCTCACTCAGTTACCAAGCCATTTAGATGAAAACTGATCAGTTAAGTCCTAATAAACTTTGCCTTCAAATGCACAGCCGATGTAATTTTACACTGAATTCTTTTGGCACATGTAATTACCACATCTTGTAGTACTTAAACAACTGTGTCACCAAAACACTGGACTAGGACCCAAAACTCTTCATTACGTACTCCACTATTCCTCATGCTCAGGCTCCCTGTCCAATATAAGTACTGATACTTACCTTTTCTGTAAAGTATATACTTTAGTAACACACACGTCTAGAGTAAGCCTGAGCTTGCATCAGTTTTCATTAGCAATTGGTAACTACAAGCAAAAGAGAAAACTAATGTACTCAGCATTAAGACTCCTCAATTACTTGGACAGTTGTAAGTTACTTACATTCAAGAAATTTTCTAAGCGTAGAAATATATTCTGCATATGACTGGGCATCGCTCTTGTTAAAGTAAAATTCCAATGCAGTGTCTGGCTTTGGTGAAATAATAAGTCATTAAAAAGAAAAAGTGCACTCAAAAATCTTATCCATAAATTGGAAAATACCTATCTGTAAAGAAACATCAGTGTTACTTCTATATTCCACAGTATTGCAATGTGGTTTCTGTTTGAAGTCAGTTACCAAAATCAACACTACATGAATTAATACTTAAATTCAGTCCAATGTATAACTTGAATTCACAAACCAAGCCCAACTTATTAGAGATAACAAAATCAGCAACTTAATCACTTTCAACCAAAGAATTCTACTGACTCAATATTTTCCATACTCAGCAAATTAAACGTAAAAAATAACTGAAAAAATACCCCAAACCACACTCAGAAAACCTCCAGTTAAAGCCAGGCTTCAAAGCTTTAGGCAACACGGAGTGACGCTACGACTGTATTAATCTCCTAGCAACCCACAAGAAACAAAGTATTTTTAAAACCTTTATAATGCATAAAGATGGCTTGAAAGATTTCCCAATCAAAACAGAGAAGCCAAGTCAGTTGTTAGTCCTTTCCTCCTCCTCCTCAAACAGAAAGTTTGTATGTCATCTGTTTCACAGAGAATACAAGAAACTTTACTAAACCACTGCACGTGCGTCACTTGCAAGGGGTTGGTCTCAGCCAGGCTGTGGCAGCAAAAAATGCTCCTGAGCTGGCTCCTGGGCTGCCAGCACTGGGCACTGCTGCAGCCCGGACGCTGCGGGGCGGCCGGGGCCTGCGGCTGCCTTCATCTGGCTGCTGGCTGAGCTGATGGGAACCGGGACCATCTGCAGCCAGGCAGCCAGGCCCGGCAGGAGAAACAAGGACACGCATCACCACATGCTGAAGTCCAGCTTTGTGCTGAAGGATGAAAAAGGCAGACATTGACATGGAGTCTGGGCCCTTAATAGAGGCAAACTGCCCTTCTTCCCAGGATATGGGTAAAGAAGGGTACGCAGTTAAATCTTAGGGATTTTTTTGTAGCAGCTGAAAGCAAAAGGGACACTCTCCTGACAGCCTGGTACCATCAGGAGTTGTCACTAACGCAGATACCTAATGCTGCTATTATTCATCACAACTTCAGCAGCAGAAGAAATAGCACTACACCACCAGATACCGCAGAGGAGATTAAATCTGTTCAAAAAAGGGCGTATGGTTGATTGCTTTATTCACACTACCTGAAGGTAACTCTTATTTAATATAAATAATTAGAACTAATAAAATCCCTACAGTTGTGATTTACACACTGAGGGTCCATGCATCTGTCTCCTCAAGCATAGCTGAGAACTGGCATTGCAGTTTCACAAAAGAAAAAAAAAAACAACCAGCAAAAAACCATACCTATTTTTTTATTAGATTAGTTTTCTTCTAAGTTAGAATATTAAAATGGTTTGATCAATGTCAAATTTGGCATATGGGAAGAAGTGCAATTACAGCAGCAACTAATTGTATCAGCTTAGGATGCCATGTAGTTTCCTGTCCTCCGGCAAAACCAATTTAAACTAGATTCCTAAATGAATAAAATTTAAGTCAGAAAAAACCCCTCATCTCCCAAAGTTAAAAAATAAAATAATGGCTTCTTTATGCAAAGTAAACATTTAAGAAGATAAGACTACTGTGGGAAGATAAAGCCAGATAAGTTGTCTTAATGTTGTAGTCTTAATACATTACTGTAGTTAATCAATCACTGAAAGCTTCTGGAAAGCCTACAGAAAGTGCAATTAAGCAGCCCAAGTCTATTAAGGATTCACCTACAGAAATGACCAAGCTTCCCATCCGAAGGCAAAAATTATCACAAATACTTTAAATTGGGAAATAATAAAGGTATATACTAGAAATTTATCATAGACAAACACCTTTTAGATTCTAAAGAAAACATAATTTAACGCTTTTGTACTCTACCTTTTTTGTAGGATTTCCAATAAATCATAAATTCTCCTTTCTGCATTAGCAGCAGTTAAATTATTTCCAGGCAAGCCACAACTAAATGGTTTAACGACTGACAGTCCATATAAAACTACAAATACCATTTTTGACTGCAAATTACTTTGCACCATTACAGTCATCTTCTGGCCTCCACACTGAACTTGGACTCAACAAAATACAAGATAATTAGTAAAGGGCTGAAAAAGCGCTGAAGGGGTTTTACACAGTAAGGGGTTTGGGCGGAGAATAGATTGTTATCATCTATAGAATTATACTGTAAATGAAGGACTTAGATGGTGTATTTCAAAGTGAATATGACAAAGTAACTGAACTAGTCATCGATGAATGAAAAAATAATTTGAAAAGATTTATTACTTCAGGGGAACTTCAAAAACATCCTAAGAGGAATAGATGCTCTAATTCCAGTGGATCACAGACTGCCTAGAGATTATGGTATATATTCTACAGAAAAAGCTATCTGAAGAAGGACTGATGTATAGACTGTGAGACATGCAGGATTTGGGCTCTTCTAGAGGAACAGAATTAGCAGTCTCAGCACAGGATCACATCTAGGATTGCAAGAGAGATTGCATTATCCTACAATTCCAAGAGGGATTTGAAAAAAAAGGTTTTAAAATCATCTGCATTTGATTGATACTATTATATTCCAAAGTACAATGAAAGTCAAATATCAATTATAAAATTAATCAACTGTGAGATTTCCAAGTATGTTTAACATAAGAGTAAAACCTTTGACCTACGCCATCCACGTTTTGTGTGTAGAATTTTTTTTAGAATTTAAAGTTTTACAGCCCGGAACATGATATGTTTCACTGCAAGTGAAAAATGACAGAGTTAAAGAGAAATATTAAAACAGAAATAAGCAATTTTATCAACTTTTCTGTATGAGTAATTAAAGACATCATTAATAAAAAAGTTAACTCACAAATATTATAGGAATTCTTCAGTCAAAAACTCATTGTGGCATACATACATTTTTAAACAATCATTCCTTATGACTTCTTTCAAAACAAGGAAATTAATATCCTGAACCACAAGAGGCACAAGAGAAAAAAAATTTCACTCAAGTCCAGTATTAAATCACAGCTACCCGCAGCTCCATCCATTACCAAGGTTCTGACTGCCACAAAGGAAACGGGGAGAATGGTCAACTAAGCCTTCTTTTTTTTTTTTTTTTTTTTAAACTAAGCACATCTTTTTTTATTATTCTTTCCAGCATTTAGCTCATTCTTAACTTGAAAAAACAGCACAAATCCTCAAGAATCCTTTATAAGAAGAGGACATCTGTTAGAGAAGGCTTGAACACCACATGAAAACAAATTCTGTTCAGAATCCAGAGACATTTATGACACTGACCCAACTGTAACTCATTCACACAAAGATTTTGTAAGCGTTGATGCAGCTGCAAGATGCTGGTTAATTTTAAGGGTTTGGAGTTCAAAAAAAAGGAGTATTTAAAAAAATAATGTCATTTAACTTCCACTAAAATATTAATATTGCATAGCCACTTAGTTTTGTTGTGTTTTAAACATAAATTTTGTCCCTAAGCCAAGTTATTATAAAGCTTGAGATATTTTATCAAATTTTCAGGTGGCCCAATCATTTAAGTTGAACATACAAATCAAATACTTACACATTCTCCAGAAACAGTAGCTAGAATATACTAATCTCTTCGGTGTAGTTAAAGTACACAGAAGTATCTTTTAAATCTTTCAGCGTGAAAATCCTTGATTTTTTTCCAATATGGAGAGGCAGCAAAATAGAGCTTATAATGACAGGTTTTTATGATATAGTTAAACTGTGTTTTTTTTTTTAAATAAAAAGTAAAAAAGGGGAAGAAAAAGAAAGGGAAAAAGGACAACTACCTTATTATTAATTTTTATTTGTGCAGGATTTTTTTTTCTGACACATACAGCTCCTTGAACCAGCCAACAGCAGGACTGGACAGGCATGCACACAAAGGAAGCAGTAGTTCCAGAAAGCAAGACACCACTTTCAGTGGCAGCTACATGTTACGAAGCCTGGGGTTCATCATAAAACAGGATCCTCTCTCTTCAGTGGATCCCTACATAACAGGTCAACAACTCCTGGAATCCACAGACATTCCATGTTGGCTGAAAGCTATATAATGCAACAATGAAAATTCTGGAAATTCTTTGGTATCATAATCCTTACATGCCCTTGAGTGGATCACCCCCACAGTACAGCCTTCCTGTACTTTTCAAAGTATCAAATGCTCATCGCAGGTGGCCTTCCATCTGATACAACGGAACTGGTTTATAGTATCTTTAAAGCAATTTGATTAAACGATAATCTCACTTCTACAACAGCGTGTTGTGTGGATATGCAGGTAAAATTGTGGTCTACATACATGAGAAACTCGACTGAACAGGACTTAGAGAAAAAACCGCAAAAGTTAGCCCATATGCACAAAAAGCTACTGACTGAATTTATGCCATAAACATACATAACTTGCCTTACACCAAGTTTTGCCTTTGAAACTCATAAGTAACTGAATAATAATCACAATTTCCCATAGGCAGTTCATACTTCAAACAAACTCTCAAATGAAACTTAGCTGTTAAACCAGACTGAGGTTTATGAAAAAATAAATATGCTGTTACCTGGACTAGAAATCCGGTCACGGTATTTCGGTATGTCACTGCTCAGTGTCTGAAGCATAACCCACATTGTGAATGTGAATAGTGCTGCTAGGAACCCATAAAATACCAGATAGAATAGTAAGATCAAACCTGTAAAGAAAAAGCTAAAATTACTATTGTCATTTCAGCTAATTCCATTACCTATTTTGAAAATCAAAATGGGAAATAAGCAATACATTTGGTTTTGGTTGCCCCCACCCCCAGTCCCCTGCCACTCCTCATTGTAGTTATAAATCAATATGCCTCTAGCACACATATGAATTGCACAGTGACGAATAATGTGTGCAAAAAAGTTTTCTTCATGTTTTCTCGCTCTTAAAATTTACAGGGCACCTTGGCATCTCCAGTTTTAAGAGACAAGCATTAAAAACTGCTCTTTGAGCTACACTGGTAAAGATGACTAAGCAGTCCATTAGGAAAAAAAAATAGTTTTGCATGTTTAAGGGAATTATAGTTTTGTATCTGGAAAGGAGGGGGTGGTAGGGAAGACGAAAGAACTGAGTGAAAAGATAAAATTATTACACTGGATCCAGCACACATAGGAAGAAATTGGTGCTTTAATAACACATGATATTTGAAAGAACTCCACACAGAGCATTCATTCACATGTACGACCTGTTACAAGACACTTCTCAAGGTGACAACACTTTCTGCTGCATATTTCTGAAAACAAACCAAGCCTTATATTCAGACTTCTCAAAAGTCTTTGCCAAGCATATCCACCTGCTTTACCCATCCACCTCAGGGACCCAGCAAGGTTCCTGTGATTCACCAAATACACAGATGCTACAAGCTTCAACTTGACAGTTGCTGAAGGAAGAGCTCCTCAAAACCCGGGGAAACAGCCTCAAGGAAACAGCCTGTTACGACGCCTTACCCCTCCATCACCTAACTGCAAGAAATCGTCAAGTGTTCCCTGTTCTTCACACCCCACCCCATTTTTTGTTAGGCATGCACAGACGTGCACTTTGGATACACTTTGGATCAGCTGTTTTCTGAAAAGACAAGGTAACGGACAGGTCAAAGTTAGAATCTTACTTCAGAGATGACAGATGACAGGGACCCAGATCAGCTGCAGAGATTTTCAAAGAACTTTCTGCCCTTTTTCTCAGAGGTATGGTGCATACCCCTCACTGAAAAGCCTTTTAAAATTTGGGACAGGTCAATTATTTTAGTAACTGAGTTTTCAAACAAGGCTTTGTATTCTTGCATTATTTGGTTTTTGACCCTGACGGACCCATGTTAATGCACCTCAATAAAGCAATAAAATAACAACATACTGTTTGCCACATATCCCTGATTTTGCTTTCAGAAGTTCTGAGAATATACATTGATGGTTAGTATTAGATTACCTTTTAAAATTTACGTTCCCCTGGAGATAGTTCCCCACTAAAGATGAAGCATGTATACTATATGGATGGAAGACTTACTAAAAGACATTTAAGATTCAACAGAAATGGTTTTATTAATTGAGTATACAATACTAACCTAAAAAAAAAAAAAAAAAAAAGTGTGATTCTGTTTTAAGACTGAACACTTGAGACTTACGGACACATCCACAGACATTGTCAAAAAGAATGGGAGCTATACGTGTGATTCTGTTTTAAGACTGAACACTTGAGACTTACGGACACATCCACAGACATTGTCAAAAAGAATGGGAGCTATACAAGTACTGAGGAATTCAGACACTTGCAGAGAGCACCATCTTCAAAACCTTTCTAATTCGAAAACATGACGGAACGATGATGCAAATTCATTTTTTATAAAATTTTCTAGCTATAAGGCTGCTATCAGGAAGCCAAAACGATATAACTCAGGTCAAGAAAAGCACATCAAAACAATTATGCAACATTCTACCGCTGACACTTCATTATCTGACAGAATCAAGTGCAGTATTTTTCACCCTTCCATAGAAAAGGAAAAATCAAAAGCAAAAGTGACTGTACCCCAGTGATGAGAATTGTCCACTGGGAGATGACAGAAGGAAGCCTAACCCCTGGCTCCTGCCCCAGAAACTATGCTTGCATTCTGCACTGAAGTATTTTCCAGTGTACTACAGCCTCCAGTAATCCAAGACTGCTAAAGATGCAAGTACCTGTATTACTTCTCCTGAAAGAAATCAGTGTACATATATTAAAATAATGAGGTGGTTCCCAAATTACCTTTACCATAACACAAGGCCTCTGCAGCAATCAGCTGAATATTGCTGGATTTTGATTTGGCTTTAGCTTTCAATTTCACATATTGAGAAAAGTTATATACCAATCTGCAGTAATCTGAAAGTGATCAGCTATTTAAAACACTATTGGGAACCACTGAGATACAAGATACAATGCAGTGATTTGAAGTTAAGCAGCAAAGTACATGAACACAAGAACAAGCTTACTCTATAATGAGCTAGACAGTTAGACATCTATTATAAACTATCCCTAAGGCTGTTTAGCAGCTACGTAGAACCTGAAAAGAGCATATAAAATCAAATACTAGAAATCTTAATCAACAAAACCCATTACAGAAGTTGCATCTGTATCTGGCACAGCAGCAATTTGCTTTAACTGGATCCAAAGCAGAGCAATGATCTTCTGATTAATACCCAGTGTATTTTGGGTATCACAAAAACAAACAAACAAAACTCTCTTACAAAACCTTTGGTCAGCTCTCATTTTGATCTCTACACGTTAATAAATTCTTGAATACACTTTCATCAAGCTGTCTAAAAAGTACACTTTCCATCAAGTGACCAAGACATTCAGCAATCAGTTCCAATGGAACAGAAAAAAAGTCTGACATTTAAGACAAGACAAGCACCTTCTGTGGCAATTAGCACAAAAGCAAGAAAGTCAGGGAAATGTTTTTCATTGAGCTATTTCATTATGTATCTGTACTTTAATTTTCAGAAGACGGTGTCTAACTCCACTGGCTGAAAAACAAAAAAACCACCCGTGCCCACTTGTTTGTTACGGATGGGCATACCTTCACCACAGCGGTGCACTGCCAGGCAGACACAGCCCCAAGCACAGTACTGCTGCGGGCCAGTGCTACCACAACATCCACAGTATTGGCCTTGGACCCCACTCTGAAGCACCTCGAAGAGCTCATCCAAGCCTTTGCTCCCGCAGTCGAGGCAGCGGTGCCTACACAGCCGCTCCACTCCAGCGGGGAAGGGAGCTGCTGGGGTCCCCCTCCCCTGCCGGGAGCTGCAGCGGGACACAACTGCTACCCGCAGGCAGTCCCTGGGGAGCCCCGTCCCCGCAGAGGGAGCGACAGTACTGGGGAAAGCAAGAGGGACCCCGGCGTCTAAAACACAGCGACCGACTCCGTGGAGGAGACTGCAGCACCAACAGTCCCTTACGGAGTCCTTGTCCCTCCCAGCAACACCACACCCGCTGGGGCTGCAGCAGTGACCAGGCTGCAAAGACTGTTCCTACTCACAGCCACAGAATTCCACTAACCTCCCCACGTCCAGCAAAGCGTGCATGCGTGTGCACACACAGAGATTATTTTTAATAAAATAATAAAGTGCTTGTAAATGCACTGCAGAACACTGACCACTAGACTAAACTACCCGTTTATGCTACCTTGCCACGTTAAAAAGAGGGGAAAAAAAACCCAACAAAAAACCCCCTTCTGCGACTAACAGCCCCAAACTGAGTAAGCTGCTCTTTGTGAGCCTATTAGTATTAATTATCCTAAGGTAATCGCAGTGAGCAAGCCATAACCTGTCACAAAGCTCTGCCAAAATAACTTCACACAACACTGGATTTCTTGTCGAGAAACAAGATGTACCCAAGTAACAGTGGAAAGCTATCCTCCACATCCACTCCAAGGAAAGCACAGCTACCACGTCTAACATGCAGCGCAACTCAGTTGCTGTGGAGTATCTTGCTACACCAAACCCTTTGAGTCTCTCAGTCTTTGACACAAACCATCACACAAGAAAAACTGTCAACACCAAAATTCTGCATTACAGTCTACTGGGGTTTTTTTGTTCGTGGGTTGTTGGTTTTTTTCCCCTCTTTGGAGAGCATCACAGTACCAAAAACCCTTCGTATCCCAACCACATCAGTAAGCAACAGTCAAACCTGGAAAACTGCTATTTCTGAACCAACGTGTTGGTGCCATCATTAGCAGGAGTTCATTTGCAGGATGAACCAACAATCAAAACCCTTCTCCACTACGAAAATTAGAATTTCTGGCTCTGGTGAATGCAAGACCTGGCCATCACTTCCATGATGAATACAAGCTTTCCAAGCTTCACATGGCAGAAGTGATAAAAAGCATGCCAATCTGGCATAAACCAGATGGGCTAATCTACCTATATGTAATACATAGGTAGATACATACAGGTATCAATATAAACACTCTCACAATAGACATGGAAGGAACTATTCAACATCACCTGCAACAGTGAAAACTAAATGCTGTCTTTATGGTTTGTTGGATTCCATGCTGCACTGGTCCTATCACCTGCACCGTCATTCTTCAGTACCTTTAACTAGTGGGATTTAAACATCCGAGTAATGTTACTAGTAACTACCACCAATGCCAGCAACATCAAGAAGGACTTCTGGTCCACAGGCAGAGGAATTTCCTTGCCTTAAACTGACATAACTATAGCTATTACATAAGCACTAACAATGTTTCAACTTTATTCACTTGACAATTACTGTTATCCAAATTTTGGGGATGGTAGGGGGAGGGAGGGGAAGAAAGAGGGAAGGAAGGCTTCAGGAAGAAATAAAATCTCAGTCCTGTGTCACAGTTTATTTCACAATAAGCCAGGGATCCACATATAACATTGCTAAATGCTTCAGGAGACAATAAAAATTGTCAAGTGCAACACTTCCAAAAAAATCACAAAAGCCAGTGCTTAATGTCATGATTAAGCATTTACAACACATAAAAAAAACCCCCAAGCCCCCAAAATAGCCTCACTGTCCCACCAGAGCTTACCGATACCTCCAACAAGAGAAGGCAAGCCTTCTTTCTTCAGAGCAATCTGTGTCACGGAAAATAAAATATTCTACTGATTTCTCAAATACTCTTTTCTTACGATAGGCAGTATCATGGAAAAGTTTAGTAAGACTTTTTGACTGCAGTCATATTCCTGGCTGTGCAGGAATTTTTACATGAACTGTCCATCTGTCACAATACAAAAAAAGAGCACTGTGTCTCTCTCTCCGATTCACAACTTGAATGTGCAAGTGCTTTTACTGCAATGGCAGACGGTGATGCCAGAATGTTTAATAATACACTACCTATGAAGAAAGCTAAACCACAACAAAACCCTGCTCAAAACACTGATAAAGAACACAGAAGAATAGAGTCAGAAAAGCAATTAAAACTTTGACAGCACTGTATCTCCAGCAAGAACTCAGTGAAGACTAAACAGAAGCAAAAGTGGACTTTTTGTTATGGTGACTGACAAGACTGTATATCCACTGACATGGTGGAAAGCTCTCCCAAAAATAAGGTGTTGGGTTTTGTTGGTGGGCTTTTTTTGTGATTTTTTTGTTTGGCTGGGGGTTTTTGTGTTTCAGGTGTTTGTTTTTTTTAATTTCAAGCACACATTTGTGCACTGAAGGATACAGCTACGCCTTCAAAAGAATATTCGTTAGGTCTGAATTTCTATGTACTTCAAGACAACGCCACCTCTACCTTGAACACCTTGACACAACTTGCATTACAGAAAGGCTTGAATAGGCTTGACATGACATCTAGTGTGACCATAAATGATTTCTAGACTCTATATTGCCTATTATTGGGGGAGGGAGGGGGCACAAATTATTTTTCTGTAACCTTGTGTAAAAAGAGTTTACTGTGCATATTGTAAGATTATGCACACATCTGAGTGTGTAGTGAGCATCCCATTACAGCATGTTCACGATGATCTCACTCCGTTCTTGCTATAACTCTAGGCAGGCCCAGCACCCTGCTAGCACAGGCAGAGGCAGATGCTAATCTTCCTTTTGCTTACAGGAAGGCCCCACATGGCAGTCTTCCAAGTTCTTCATTCTTTGCCCTACCTGATTACACCCTGTGTGGAACCCTAGGACTCTCCTTCCCATCACCTCTACGAGGACTATTAGCACCCCTTATACCCTGCTGCTGAGAACACCACTAAACTAACTCAAGTCATCAACAGTTCTTTTCAGTATCTTCTGTCTCTTTAACACAACAAATGATTACACCAGATAATTAAAAATATTAACGGTTTTTAGTGGAGATTTTTTTGTTAGATTTGGATACTGATTTGTGAAAGATTCAAATTGAATTATCCCTCAATTCTGCAAAAAGTAAAGTAAAAATCTCTTTTTTTTTACAGCAAGAGGAGCTGTAGTATGGGGTTTTTACCAAACTGCAAAAGGCAACTCTTTACCAAACTCTAAAAGACAACATACCTCTGTTACATGACAAATGAGTGTAGGAGCTGCTTGTGTTTGACCTTTTTACAGATCCTGGTGTAGAAAAGGCAGACAAGTACTCCAATGCCACAGCACTCAGATTCAGAAAACCACTGCCTTGTGGTTACAATTTACATAAGCCCCCAGGACTGCCTCAGACTAGGGCAAAACATGCACATACTGTGAATAATTATTTAAATTCTGCTGAATAATTATTTAAATACTGCTTCTGTCTTATTTCTGTGAGGAAGCTGTCTGAAGACGAGAGAAATACGCACGGAAGAATTAGAGCCAACTGAATTCTTACCATGCTGCCCCTGGAGACACCACAGCCCAGCAGACTGGCAGCCAGAGCTCTCCTCTCCTACCCCCCACCTTTCAGAGGGGAGATCGGCAATGGAAAAGGAACAATAGTCAAGGAGACTGCTCTAAGCTCACATCAGTACTGCAAGGGCAGAAGTGAGACCAAACCCTGCATATTCTTCTCTGCCAACAGAGACACCCAATGTTCTGCATTTAAAAAATAAAAACCAAACAGAAAGCCACACCCTGCCCCCCAAAACAGTCAAAGACTATAGTTTACTCAAAATATATAATTAAATTAAATTAGCACAATATGATAATCACAAATGCCAGGACAAACAAATATTGACAAAAAAAATACACTGACAATTTATAGTGCTGCTGAACAGTCACCTCTTACTGTCCAGGCTAAGGAAAAGGTACACAGTAGTAACCACATACCAATCACCTAAGCCACTTAAGAAAACTTCTTAATTAAGTAAAATTATTCAAACTGCTATCTAAGCCTCTGCATACTTTCTCAGTCTAGAAAAGCATCTTTTATCAAGGGACCTAGCCATAGAAACTCAATTACCAACCAAGTAGTATCAATTTCAAGTGTTATCTCTTGGCCTTGGATTAGCAGACTCGCAACATCGTGACTTCTCCTACTAGATAGGTCTAAACAGAGAAGGTTGTTTCAACTTCACTTCTTTAAAAAAGTTACAAGCTGTTTCCAAGGTGCCCACAGTCTTTGCATTCGTCAGATCCATGACACTGACAGACTTCAGCAATCCATGCACCCATTCATCCAGCCCCCGCACGTCAGGAAGCCTGCCTGTACAGAAAGATCACTAGACAACAGCATAGTGGAAATTTCCTCTCCTTTGCTATTCAACCGGCAGAGCAGCTCGCAAGCTCTTATTTCCATTTGAATGGAGGGTTCTCCTCATGTCAGAGCTAGGGCCCTCTCTTGACAGGCAGGAGACATTGGCACCGCAAAGAAAGCACATCCCATGCACAGCCCGCTTAAGGCTCCTCCTCACTGTTTCAACATTAGCATTCATTGAGATCGTGTCAAGGCCAAGGATGTATTGGCCTGTTCCTTTACGCCATGCTGAGATTCTTGTTGGTTTTGTAAGCATAACTATGAAGTATCCCAATGACATCCAAGTTTTGGGAGGAGATGCAGCATTTTCTGAAGCCAGTAAATGCGTCCCATGAGGACTGAAGAAACAGCCTAATATTAAGCATTTATACAACTGTTTAATATGAGAAAACATACTCGGAAAATCCAAATATTTTTATTGGAGACAACAAGATTATGATAACATGCTTTCCAGCTCAGAGGAAAGCAACGGGAAGACTACCTGAAAGTAGGAAAACAAACACTGCCTTTGCCAGCTTTGCTGGAGAACCGTCATTTCAAAGCTTGGTTTAAGGAAAATAACAGGCCCAGAAGCCCTACGCTGGAACAAATTCAGCGCAGCGACACGCAACGATCACTCCGCCATAGGCAATCGGGAACGGGGGCTCGCAAACTTCGGGGGGGTTGGGGGTCGCC